GCTAGATAAATTAAGAGGAGCGTTTATCTGTGGTCCAGTGTTTTTTTAATTTGTTGGTTGTTGTTGTTATTGATAATGTTTGTTGGGCTGATTGTTCATCTTTTTCTGTTGTTCACTTGGTTAAGTCACTGTGTATAAGCTTAGTATATTATAATTTTTATATGGTCTATTATTCGTTCTAATGTTATAATTTTTACAACATTGACAGATGGGTTGGCCAAGCTTGCTGCTGCTGTGTCTTTTGTTTGGGTTCCCCTTCTGTTCCCAAGAATATTACTAATACCTTAGCTTAAGGACATCATTATCAGATGGATTGGTAGTACCTTTTTTTTTTTTTTTTTTTTTTTTTTAAGTTATAATTGGTCTAATTTCATTTCATTTCAGGGAGATGAAATGCGATTTGGAGGCTTTGATGACCTGATGTGTTTTACAATAAACTCATTTTATTCCCTGCATATTTTATTAAAAGTGAAATCAATTTTTAATAAATTATTAAAAGATTGATTTCACATTTAATAAAATATGCATGGAATAAAATGTTTAGTTTATTGTAAAACTCACCAGGTCATCAAAGCCTCCAAATCCGTGATTGTTGGAGGCGTTACATCTTTCTCAAATGAAATTAGACGAATTATAATTTTAACAAAAAATAAAAATTAAAAAAATAATAATAATACTGTGGTCTTGTGTAATTGATATATACCAATCCATCTGATGATGATGTACTAGAGGTCTAGAGTGCTTCTCCATTTTCTGATCTGATTCTGTATACTGGGTTACTAATAAGAATATTAAATTGTAGTTTTGGCTATTAATAAGAATATTGGTTATTAACATGAAATTAAAATAAAATGGGAAAGAAGCAATGAGGATCGGAAGAAATAATATGAACAAATTAGGCTGTTATAATAATAATAATAATAATAATAATAATAATAATAAAGGGTTTAATTGCATCATTTGGAAGTTCAATGGTTTGTTTGGAGTTTTTTAGAGTTTGATAGTTAATTGTAGGGTGAAGTGCCAAATAGCACCATGAACCAATTGTGATATGTATGTCGCACCCTGAACTTACATAAGTGATTATTCGATTCACAAACCAAAAAAAATTGTCCGCCTAGCCTTTTTTACATGTTTCCCTGTTGCCTTGATGACATGGCACAGGTAATGTGCTGATGTGGATTTTTTTTTGTTTTAAGTCAGTCTTTGCTTTGGTCAAATAAGCTTACTCAGATCATGAAGCTTAGTTTTTCAAGACTGTCGTCCAAGCTTTTATCTCTGCAAGCCATCGAGTTGTTGGACCACGCTGGTGATAAGCTCTTATAGTCCCGGAAGAGATCGACAGAGCCACGGCGTCGTTGGGCAATGTACACCGTTGCCGGCATTCCTCATCGTCGGCTTCTGACAGCACTGAGAAATGCATTCCTCATCGTCGTTTGGGGTACTCCTCGCCGGAATCTTTAGCTTTTTACTACGTAGAGATTGGGTAATGAAAACAATGATCACCATGAAAAAACCCACTACCATTCTTGCTCTAGTAACTTGACTTGGCATGAAAAGAAACACCAACCCAATTCCCATTCTCAATCCAATCATGTCTACATGTCCACCGACTAAACCAAACCTTACGATTCAATATCTTCCCAAAAATTTCTCACAATAATGGATGTTTCAACTTACGGTATATTCTCTATACTTTCTACTGCTTATTAATTTAGTATACATATGTTAAATTGTTCCCAGGGATGTGCGAAACATTGGCTTTCAAAATGTTTGCATTATTTTTTGTTGAAATGTATAGTTGAAATGCAGAGCTATGGTCTAAGAATCAACATAATATAGAGTGTGATCACACTACCTTCTGCATCTCCTCGACTTCACTGAAATCACAGATACTGTCAAAATCTTCCACTCTTAATCCTTTGCATAAAAACTGAGGACGGCGATCAAATTATGAGGTCGCGAGAGGGGTTCGTCGTTGTCCTGAGCATTGTCGACATCCTTCGATCGTCGGGGCACCGCCGACTGCGCAACAGAGTCCACAAATTCTGGACCACTCCGATCAACAATCCAAGCAGTGGAGGTTGATCTAGACGCATCCCTAACCCCATCTATGGCTTCCGATCGTCCATGCATGGACTCAAACGCCGGAAAAATCTCCTGCGACGAAGACCGGTTCGCAACTTGCAACTTCGCTGATGGTTGCGAATCGCCAAACTGAAGGTGGCGACTTCGCTGGGAGTGGGAGATTACTCTGGAGAGTCGCGAAAGATCATCGCTGGCCTGGAGTCTCTTGATCGCCGACTTCGAGAGATTATAGCCTTGTGACGAAGATCGGCCATGGAAGAGTATAACAGAGGTTACTTTATATTATTTAATATAAATGGTGAAAGGGCTGCCAACTAAATACCTCCACATCAGCAAAAAAAAAAAAAAAAAAAAAAAAAAAAAAAAAAAAACCTCCACATCAGCAAAAAAAAAAAAAAAACAAAACAAAACAAACAAACCTCCACATCAGCAAGTTATAACTTGTTACTTGGAGGCAACCTGCTAAAAAAGCTAGGTAGACAAAATTTTTTAGTTTGTGAATCGAATAATTACTTATGTAAGTTCAGGGTGCGGCATGACATATCGCAATTGGTTCATGGTGCGATTTGACACTTGAGCCTTAATTGTATTATTTTCCATCTCTTATTATTTAAAAAAAATATATAACTCTTTCAACAACAAAAAATATGGAGAAGACAACGTCATGTTACGTTGTTGAATTAATCGAAAGCAAGCATCCCATATAAGTTGGTATCATAATAAATAGTCAGAGTAAATTTCAATTTTGATCCTGTAACTATAGGAGTTTTGTTAATTGCAGTCTATGACTTTCAAAAGTGTTAATTTAGTACCTTGACTATGCAATTTTTATCAATTTTGATCACTCCGGCCAAATTACTGATTAAAATTGACCGGAAAATTTTAAATGATAAAATGATGAGGGTATTTTGGTATTTTCCTTCTCTTTTCTTTCTCCCCATTCCTTTGCCGAATTTGTTGTGTTTCTTAGCGAGAAAGGATCGGAGATAATTAATGAATTTTCACCGGCTCTTCTCGTAGTTGAAGACAAGGTGGATTGTTGTGTCACTTTAGGTTTTCGTTATTTTCTGGTTGCAATTCTTACACTATTGGGTTCTTGATTTAGGGTTGTTGGTAAGTTAATAAATGGAGAATAACGGTTAACTTGGAGAGGAAACCGCTGCGCCTGCAAGGCAAAGGGGAAGTGGAAGCAGGTTCATGTACGGGAGAACCGGCGGCGGCATCGGGAAAGCAACCACATAGCTACTGGTTTTCAAGCAAAATCAAATGGAACCATGGAACGTGGAATCAAGCAAAATCAAATTTGGTCCATAATAAGGTCGACCGCAATGAACATGGAATCAACCAAAATCATATTTGGTCCTAAGGTTTTGGTTGTTAATCTGCTCTACTATAATCCACCAAATTAAAAGATTTTGGCTTCGAGCTGTAGTATTGATTAGAAATCGTGTGGGCTCTGCCGGCGCAGGTTCGATGCCTTTTTACTCCGGCGTGTATACCAAAAATGAATAAAGAACATCCAATCCAACAGCTAAGCTCTCTCTCTCTCTCTCTCTATTCGTGACGGGAAAAACACTTAGGGGACGTTTGGTTCACGGAATGTCAGATTACCTTAGGGAATGTTAGATTGCTGGGAATGTTAGATTACTGGGAATGTTAGATTCCTGTGTTTGGTTAAAATTGAGGTATGTAATATAATCATGTTTGGTTTAGGGTTATCTTTTATACACACTATAATATCCTTAAGATAACCAAGGTTATCTTACATTACCTAAGATTTTGAAGGGAATCACATTCCCTTCAAAATCCTATGTGGAGGGAATGTGACATTCCTTGAGAATGTTAGATTCCCTAAGATAATATGAACCAAACACCGGAATGTGAGCTTTGGAATGTCACATTCCCTTGGTTATGTTATATAACCTGAACCAAACGCCCCCTTACAGAGAAGAAGACTCAATGGATAAGAAATAAAAGAGAAGGAAAATACCAAAATACCCTCATTTGTTTATCATTTAAAATTTTCCGGTGAGTTTTAACCGACAATTTCGCCGGAGTGATCAAAATTGATAAAAATTACATAATCAAGGTACTAAATTAAAACTTTTGAAAGTCGTGGACTGCAATTAACAAAACCTCTATAGTCATAGGACCAAAATTGAAATTCACTCTAAATAGTCATACTCATACACTCCACCGTGCCATCTCCCATTCACCAACTCTAATCTCAATAAAAAGTAGCCGATGATAGACAGAACAAGATTGTTAAGCTAAACCCAATGCAAATTTTAACCCCCTCCTCTGTCTTTTGCATGTAATTCACCTTGGGTTTGACGTTACCTTATCTATTCCATTGTAATTCAAAATATGAAATTATCTATTCCATTGTGATTCAAGATATGAAATGAAAAGAAAATATACATTTGACATTTTTTTTCTTATTTTCTTATATGATTCTAATTGCTTTTGCATGTATTGTATATTATATTCATTTGTGATTTAAGATATGTTTCAAAATTCAAGATTCATCCATTGTTCTTCAAGATATGAAAAGAAAATATTTTACTGACATTTTTTTTCTTATTTACTGATCTGATTCCGAATACTACGTACATCGATGCTTGCCTACCATTCTCATTGTTCCTCCTATATATACAACCCCCCACGGTGCAACCAGTTTACATGAAATACAATATATTGTTTATTCAATTCGGACACTAAAAAGGGATTTTATTACTTTTGATGATTTAATTGGATTATTATAATATATTGATCTATTCTCCAGCATGATCGACTTGGAATATTATTATTATTATTATTATTATTATTATTATTATATTATAGGGGACTCAGATACACACCTCATACTTCAATTTCCTAGCAGTAGCATTTACAAGTGTCTGCCAACTCACTCAGAGAAAGCCAACGTTGATTGATGAACGTAACCAAAATCTATCAGTCAGCACACGATACAGGACACAAGAATGTGAAAAATAAAAACAAATGAAAAGAAGACAGTACAGTAATAGGGTGAGTAATCAACGTACTGATTCTTAACCCTCGATCAGCTCCTACAAATCAAAGAATAATAGAAGAAGGCTACACCAAAGTATTTGGAGGGAGGGGGTTTTGAAGTTTATGAAAAGTGGGTGAATCGTGATCCATATCAAGGGTTCAAACAGAACTCCCCGGCCTCATCATATATTTTCTCAAGCTGCTCAACCTTGTTAAATCTGAAACCTCTGATCCTCACTTCTTCACCCACTGAACTATCCTTATAATCAACAGTTTCAATCACCCATCCTTTGTTATCAATTGAACCTCCCGCTTTAACCTGTCAACAATGATACATACATATATGGATATGTGTTGCTATATGTATAGAATTCCCAATCTCAATATCATAATCACAATTTTCCACCGGCCCAATCCAACATACCTTTGCATTGTCAACTGCATCAACAACTAGAGCTCCATCTAACGATAGGTCCTCAAGGATGATATTTCTACCTTTTAGAGCCATAGTAGATCTTTGTGAAATAGAGTTACTTCCACTCACTTTGCTTTTAACATCTGAGAAAGTAATTGCCCATTTAGGCTTCCATACAACACGTGGCCACACTTCCACCTCTTGTCCATTGAACACCTGATGAATTGGATCATCTACCTTCACACCAACCTGTAACAAACCAAACACTGTAAGTCACACACATAATAAAATCTTTGAGACAACACTGTAATCATAAGAAAAACGATTGGTGGAAAGCAAACACTGTAACTGACATCCATAATAAAATCTTTCCACAAGTGTAGTGTATCTTTGAGACAACTGTAATCATAAGAAAAGTTAAAGGATTGGTGGAAATTTGGGTAGTAGTTCACATTTCAGCCTGTCTAAACTTCCCATCATTGGAAGTGGAAACCACTGAATATAAGATGTGGAAATTTATAACTGGTCAAAGCAGTTAACAAACACTCAAATTACCATCACACTCAACATAACAAATAGTTAATTTGTCCCATAGAACCACTCAATTATTTCTTCAACCCATTTTGACTCACCTGCATGATGACACGCCCTTTAATTTTGACACCAATACTAAGAGGAAAATTGCAGTTTTAGAAATATCAAATCCACAAGTATATCTGGCTTGAGAGAAAAATGACCTTTCTCAGAATGAGGCTATGTGCTTTATATATGGCCATTTCTCCAGAAGTAGCACTATGGTATGGGTTCCCCTCTGGTACCTACGGTTAGAAAGGAAACAATTATTCCATGAAAAAAATTGTTGAAGTGCACATTTGGAAATTGATTGAAAAAGAAAAAGGTACTAATCAGAGAAAATATCATCACACGAAATCACTGGAGAATTTAGTACTGATTGGCAAGCCTAAAATATTAACAGAGCTAAGAATTATAACCATGAGCTAATAGTTGCCAAGTAAAATAGATAAACACAACTCATAAAGTCAGATGTACGTGGAAATCTATTTTATATATCCCAAAGGGTTGAAAATGAATTTCACAAACCTTCAAATGGCATAGTTTATATATATATATATATATATATATATATATATATATATATATATATATATATAGGCTTGAATTCGAGAGCGAACGACTTCTTACATGAGAATTGCAAACTTGTACATGAATGCACACACTCCAATATACCAGACGCACATTGCACACAATCTACCATGGAGTAGTTTGTGTGCATTCATGTGGTTATCACGTTCTTACCTAAGAGTTAGTTTTCATTTGATCATTAATCTCTCTCTCTCTCTCTCTCTCTCTCTCTCTCTCTCTATATATATATATATATATATATATATAAAGGAAAAAATGAAAAATGAAGGGGTCGTTTAATAAATATTACAAATTTTGACCCCGCTCCTTTTTTACTTAATTTCCTATCAATTAGATCATGCAAGTCGGTGGTTTGGATTTGTCCACATGTTCTTATCTGGGACTTCGTTCTCATATGAATATGTACTAGAGTCTGTCTATATATATATATATATATATATATATATATATATATATATTGCATTATCACATTTCAATTGTTATGGATAATGATGACTGGAAAAACAAACAGAAAAATGGTACTTCGTAACTTTTAAAATCACAGATATTGAAAGTAGCATACTTTACAGAGAAAGAGTTATGATCATTAACCATACCTTGGAAGCATCTTCAGGGTTGTTTTTTACAGGTGCATAAGCAAGCCACACGTCCATCACCTAATTGATCAAACAGAAAACATTAAGATTCATATTCAAATACTCTCGTACAAATATAGTGATACATCCAAATCCAAGGTGAAGTTGATGCCATAACAAAATCCCTTCCCATCTAAAAATCGCCCCAGTCGCATTTCAAGATTCGAAGACCAGATTCCCATAAGAAATTATGAATTTGCCCAATCTCATTCTATAATAGAATGAAAATTTTGGAAGCACTATTAGAGTATATACAATCAATTTTGAATTATGAAAATTGAAACAAGAGACATAATTCTGATTCTGAACACAGTACAGTGTATGTTTATTCATATAAAATCAAACAGAAACTTCCACTTACAGTAAATCCAACATTAGCAGAAGGAGGCAATGTTTTAGGATAATCTTGCATCATACATTCAAGTCGAGTTGAGGACTTAAATGCAGTTTTAGTAGCATCTTTGTACCTAAGGAGAAAAAGAGCAGAGCTAGTCAGAATACTGGGGAGGTGTTGGAAAATCAGTAGCAAAAATCAATCAACCATACATTCCATGGAAAGAGAAGTACCAACAAACAGAGCAACACAATCAAATATACTTGTAGTAAAAGTTGACACTAATGCTATTTCATACATTGACTTATCAGCATAGTCTGGAAAATGAGAGACTCTATACCCTCAACATAATGCCAGCTAATAGTTACAGACCAGAAAAGCCCCATGTCATAGAATTGATGCATGACTTAATTAAGAACATAGGGGAAAGGATATAGGAATTACTTTGGATTAACGAACTCTTTTATAGCTCCTCCGGTTTTTTGGAGCTCCTCAATGTATGGACCAATCTCGATTATCAACTGATTAGTACAAAAACATATTAGTCAACAGCAGCAAGCCACAAAAGCAATAACATGATCCCATATGCAATCTAGCTACAGTTAGTACTATGCACATTGAACTGCAGACATTCACCATCAAGACGTTCAAAGTGCCTTAGTCAAACACTAGTAAATGACAAAGGCATAGATAAACCTAAAGTATTGAGTCTCGTACTCTCATGCAATTTAATTTTCTATGGAATCCCAAAAACATATCAGTACACTGAAGTGAACAGAAAGAAAAGAAAAATCTCAAGCAAAGTTACATGGTAGAGAAAGCATTTCTACCAGTTATATCTTGACTATATAAGAACAACCTAAAGAATACTAACAAGTACAAACCTGATTTATATTCCCAGGGAAAGGTGAGTATCCGGTTTCACAATTGACATCACCATCAGAATGTCCACTGGCTCTAAGCAACGGGTCAAGCTGGTTATATTCCACATTAATCACCATCGTTCTCCCTAAAATGAAATATGAAACAAGTATGATAATACTAGGTGTAATGTTAAGAACCTGTCACCCCAAGTGATCTGGAAGAATGAGGCAAGGAGGAGAGCAGTAGGGGTAGACTAGAGAGACATAATATTGGATGACAATTTTAAAATAAGAGAAGCTTGACACACACTTAAGTAATCGATCATCCAAATGTCCTAGTACAGTTACACTTGACTTGAAAATTTTTAGAACACACATACCATATAATAGAATCCCGGAAGCACTGAACTTGACAAATTGTATACATTATTTAGTTTAGGATTTAAGCACTCCTAGACAAAAATGAATTAACTTAAAAAATGATGCATATGTGAAGAACACCCAATGTATGGAACTAATGCTATTAGGAAACTGAAAATGTTGCCTTATATTGTCGATTAAGCAGATGTCTCCATACTAATCCATGAAGCAGGGTGCCTCATCCCAGCGAGCATTTATAAGTTTTCTTCACTACTTATGTTAGCTATAAGCAGAGTTGCAAATAACATTAACCAAAGCTTGCACAGCACAAGAGCCTCAAGCAATAGGCCTGATTTTTTCTTTATTTGATTTTTGCAATGATAAAAATGTTATAAATACATGATTGTTTGAACACATCTATGTTACTATGTATGTTTGCACAGATATATTTACCATCCTTGTGAGTAAGCTTGGTAATTCCCCCTATAGCTTCTTTTGCTTTGCGAGGAACAGCTAGAGAATTGACATTGTACTGTTTTGTGGCACTGACACCAAGTGATGCTGGAATAGCCTGGAAATGGTACACTTGTCAGGTTGTAATTTCAAGCATAAACAAAACAATTCAAACCAGAACCTTCAACCAACCTTGAAAAGAAGGCCATTGGTGTCTTGAAAAAACAGGACCCATCTCAAACCAGCAGCATGCCTAATGGCAATTGGCAAAAACAGTTTGCCCAAAGAAAATTTTAGAACTACATATACTACTTCCATATAAATACCAGAATGATATGAAAGGAAGTTTAAAAGATTAACTTCCATTTTGAAGTTAGTATATAAGAGAGTAAGACTTGTGAAGATAGAGTCCAAGTTATGTTCAATCATAGAGATGTATTCCAGTAAAAAACAGCAGACTTTTTCCTGGAAACATCAACCACTTATAGGAAATTTCTATATGTGTTCTATTTAGATTGTTGCATGTGATAAGTGATGGAGGAAAATACAAAGAATCCACTTAAAGGTGAATATTTAATAAGAGGAAAAGATAATTTGTATACATACCATACTTTAAGTAACCCACTTGAATAAAGAAGTGAATGAACATCACCATGCCCATGAGGTTTTGTCTGAGACATAGCAAAGGAGAAGGTAAAAGAAGAAAATGAAAATAATTAAGAAGTGTGTATTGATCAATCAACATAATACAAAATAAGTACAAAGGATGAATGGAATCACCTGGATACGGTACTTATTGTGTGGGTCCACAGCAAGGTGTGCATCATTGTCCTCTAAGCAAGCAACTTTTTCCTAGAATAAATTGGAGTAAAATGCAGTTAGTTCACTACAATACCATTATGTAAACTCCTATTATATTGACTATCAGTAACTTACTTGCTTTAGGAGTTTGACTTGGGTTGGTTTCATGCCAAAATATGCATTTGACTCTAACAGTTCTGCAGTTCGTGAATGCGTGTCATCTGAAGTCATTATAATGAAAGGGATATCGACTGGGCTTTCACCTAATATTATTATAAAATAAAGACATTAGCAACCAATAAAAGCAGTGTGTTTAATCCAAACCTCTACCTTCATTAAAGGGAGAGATTCACATGTTTAGAGAAGAATAGCTTCCCTTTGTCATCCTTATCGAAGCAAGTAAACAACTAAACAATTGCAATATAGGTGAGGAAAATTAAAATTACAATCATCCCCATTAGAAATTGAAATAAAAAGATGAGCAGGTAATATTTACGGTTTTCTGGCCATTTAAAAAAATAATAATAATAACAAGAGAGAGACTCAGTAACCTGTATAATATACTTCATTGAGTTAACGTTAATGTTGAAGATACATTATTTCTAATAATTTGTTTAGCATGAACATGGGAAGCACTTAGTCTTCAAAACCAAATACATTTTGTACACTCCATATATAAGAATCATTCTCACAAAACAAATGAAATTGTGGCCTTGAAATCTGAAGTTCTTCGAATAGTTTATTCCTTGCCAGACAGCTTTATAATTTAGATAATATAAGAAACTTTGTTTTTCAGTCTTCAACGAAGTAACACAGTATTTATTGCCATACATATAAGTTCATGAATGCTGCTGTTCTCATGTTTCAACAGTATTCAAACAAAGCATTGTACAAAAGCATTACAAACTGCCACTTAAAAAGTTCATCTTTGATTTACGCTATCACTCCATTATTTATACAGGTTCAGATGTAGGGGGCTCTTGTATGTACCCAAGGCTTTACATAATTAAGGGTCTGTTTGGAAACTTTGAAAATGTTTTCCAGAAAATGACTCATTTTTGGGAAAACATTTTAATTTTCTGGTATTTGGTTGAATGTCAAATAAATATCTTTTTCTATTTGGCTAAAAGTTAAGAAATTGTAATTTTTTGTTTGGTTCATTTTTATGAAAATGAACATATTATTTGTTATTTGTTAAAATAATAATTATAATAATAATAATATGTGACGGTGGTGGTATGATTTTATTTTTTTTTTAAAGAAAACCCAAACATTTAAACCACAAAAACAATAATCCAGAAACAAACTTACAAAAGAAGAGAAATGGAAAATAAAGAATTTGGAAAATGTCTTCAGAAAACTAGGAAGACATTTTTCGCCAAATTGAATTTTTTTTTGCATTGACCAGAATGAATATTTTCCTTTTGACTTCATTTTCCTTGAGTGCCCAAACATTGGAAAATCTGGAAAATGACTACCGGAAGTCATTTCCCGGGTTTCCAAACGGACCCTAAATTTAATTTAATAGCCACATAGCACTAAAGATTTAATCTGCTAGCAGAAAATTAATTCACATAATACAGACAAATATAAGTCTAATCTACAAAAAAAAAAAAAAAAAAAAAGGCAAAGTAAATTTAAACCTTGTGATAGTTTACAGCTAGCCTCTTGTAGAGCTAAAACAGATTCGATATAGTGCTGTAAGAAACAAGTCCCAGTGGTAGTTTCATGAGGGAGAGCCACCTGAAAGTGGTATGTATTGTTATAAAATTGATAGGAATACGCAATCATATGAGACAAAATTCCTTTGTTGCAACTGCTACTTTGATATGCACTGGAGATTTAAAACAAAGAGAATATAATGATGCACACTGAACATAAAACAACAGGGCATCTGAAAATGGAAGTGGACAGTTTTACCTTTATTCCATTGTATCCAAGACGTTCTCCAAGTCCCCCGGCAACAAGAACAAAGGCAGCTTTCCGTGCTTCTCTAATACCAGCCTCCTCAAATTTAACAAAGCTCTCATCACCATAGGTCAGATTTTCCCCAGATGGAACCTGAAAAATGTTTTACACATTCATTTAGATTGAGACATAATTATACAGCTCATGCATGATGGACTAGATCAACACATAAAAACCAATTTTTACTGGCCCTTGGCCATTGGTCACCAAAAAGAAAGGTATAAAAATTCAATTTACAAAGTTTCACGAAAACCCGTACATTTGGCAAAAGCAGAAGGATGATAACAAATTTGATAATAATAAAAATTTAACCCGCATTAATCTATTACAAAATGAAGGTTTCATAAGCTACTTGAAGTTCATATTCACTTTGACCAAACTAATACATTAATTTCCTTAACATTCTGAAAATTTCAGCAGTATTTTAGCATTAGGATTGCAATGACATTTTCATCACGTGCACTCAACAAGGAAACTATTTTTGAAAGTGTGGCATCATGCTGATATTTTCTAATGACATTTTCATCACTTCCAGAGAGTTCCTGATCTCTTGTTCCAATCTCATGTCTTGAATGTCACTCCTCCTTATTACACAGCTACAATACCAGAATACATTGTACAGTACACTTTATCAACCCAAGTACAAAATTACATGCTTAGATCAGCAGAACATGCAGAAATCTTCTGTTTTGCTACCACGAAGAACTCTTTAAAATGGTATTCAATACAACTAAAGCACTATAGAACATAGTTTCACTACAGAATTACCTAATTGAAGTAACTAAATTAAAAGGGTAGTGAATGAAATACTGCCTCCTGAAACTAGTCACCAAGGATATAACAAAATGTACCCTTTCATTCATTTCAACAAAAAATTAAAGTGAACTCCTGACCTAGACTGGAATACTGCAATAGTTTCAATCTGATGTTTCTTTGTTAGTTCTAATCATGTTTTGTTAACACCACTTTATGAACAAACTAGATAAATCTAATTAAGCAATACATTCCTCTGATTATAATTCCCAATTTCATATGTTAATTCTGAAGAAAGAATCTACAAAATCAGTTATAAGATGTGGATAGTCTAAAGGCTTACAGAAGGTGTAAAACCATCATACGGATTTTTCCCAGCTTTGGAATCAGCCAATAGTTCCCTGGCAGTTTTAATATATGATGCCAGTCCCCCAGGGTAACTTGAATTAAGTTTGGCAACCTGAAACAAAAACAGCTTTAGATGCTTAAAATTGAAATGTTGAGGATACCATATTAAAGGTTCAAGAAATGACAATAATTTCCAAATAAATATTTGATCGGTTCCAATTCATAAAATCAAATTCTTCCTTACAGCATATACAGGTGTAAAATCAGTCATCTGCGAAATAAATTTCAAAGACAATGAAAACTAAGTTGAAATTGCTACAACAAACGCACCTGATCAAAAAAGGCGCGCTTCTCGTTGTCATCAACCCCGGGCTGGGGCCATTGCTGAAAGAGATGACTCTGCCCCGCCTCCAACAAGATCTTCGCAAGTTCTACCTAAACACACAAGATTCAATACGAACTTGCCGCGCGCACCGATCTCAGATCGATCACCGAAAACAAAAGAAACAAGAGAGCACTACCTGTTGAGGAGAGAGAAGAGATAGGTTACTCCGAAGATTTGGAGCAGACGAAGCCCACTCGTCTCCGTTAATGCTGAGTTTCGAGATCCCGTCGGCAGCCGTAGATGCCATGGCTGAAGACGTCGCGGATTAACTGACGCGAAAAAGAATGTCGTGTTCGTGATTGTGAAATGGAGTTAAGGAGGGAGGAGGGTGATGGAATGTTACTGATTATTATGATTATGATGCGATGAGCTGAATGATTTGGTGACCGGAAGATGTGGTGAGGGAATTGAAGGCAGTTACGGGGCGGGCCCACCCGTCTATGACGGTCAATTTATGATTGTGGATTCATTACTAGTAACTGTACGTTCTTTTCAGACATAACTTTTCTTTTTTTAAACATTATTGAGTTTATTACAAAGTAATATTTATTTTTATATTTTTTTAATTATATATCGTATAAATTGTTTTTTTTTTCTTCCAGCCATAACTATACGTCTATAATAACTTTTTATTATTTTTAGTGACTACGTTAATAATTAATAACTACTATAATAATATTTTTACTAACATATAGATATCTTTTTCTTAAACATACTAACATATAAATATCCTTACGGGTTTATGTCAATTCTTGTTTTTATACTTAAGACTAATTTTTCACACACATTACGTAATTAATTTAATGTTTTTAATATTTTTATTCATAAGTAATTTAAAGTATATCAGATTATATATGAGAAGTTCGTTATGATTGGCGTTAGAATTAATATTTATTTTTATTTTTTAAAATAATTATCTAAATACTTATTGCAATTAATATATTAATAGGTAGTAAATATTACTTTTGTTTGAAATCACTCTAAGTTTTGATAATTCATTTTTTGATAGGTTTGTCATTGTTTTCGTCTTCATATTGCTTGTCCCTTTTTTTTTATAGTGTTTCATGTGTAATTGGATTACTAGTGCTAATTTGCAACAAAAATAAATAAATTAGTCTAATTAGTTCTGTTACATTAAATAATAGATACACAGAATCCTTAAGTTGATTCTCTATACCACCTCCCCACTTGAAATCCATCTTAACATGGCTTATAACAATTGGATATCGTGAAGTGAGACCCAACTAACTCATTATCAAAGACAAAATTATCAAATGAAAATGAGTAATTACCGAAATGATCTCTAGACTATAGCAGAATTACCAATTTGGTTCTCGAACTTTTTTTTTTTTTGTGCAATTAAGTCATCAACTTTAAAAATGTTAACCACTTTTGTCCTTTAAAATACTCAAAATGGTCTCGCGACTATGCCATAATTTACAATTTAGTCATTGACTATCAATTATATCAATTAAGTCATACTATTCAATTCTTATTCGATAATTCACAAATCAATCATTCGTTGAGGACCTTATTGAGTTAAAAATAATGAGTTAATACCCAAAATCGTCATCGACTATAGTGATTTTTCTTAATTTCGTCCTAAACGACATTGGTAACATAATATCGTCCCAGACTTTTGTGTTTCGCTCAATTTAGTCCTCCATTTGTTATTCCGTTAAATTGGTGTTAAATTAAGGGACAATTCAGTAATGTCAATATTGATCTCTCTTTACTTTCACCTTGTGAAGTGCGAAATTCTCCTTTCTTGTACGAATTACACCCAGAATTACTCCCGGACCTACAAATCAAATTTTATATTCGCAGTTTTAAGAGTAATTCTAAGAGTATTTCGTAAAAAAAAAAAAAAAAAAAAAAAAAAAAAAAAAAAAAAAGAATTTCGCAGTTCACATGTCTATGAGTAAAGAGATGCCAATACTAAAATTACTGAATTGTCTATTTATTTAACACCAGATGGACAGAATAACAAATGAGGGACTAAATTGAGCAAAAACACAAAAGTCTGGAACTAAATTGAGTGAAACACAAAAGTCTGAGACGATATTAGGTCACCAAAGTCGTTTAGGATGAAATTGAGAAAAACCACTATAGTTGAAGACAATTTTGAGTATTAACTCTAAAAATAATAGTTGAGGACTTTATTGGTTTGAGTAATAATTGAATAGTTAAATACCTTATTGAGTAATAATTGAGTAGAGTTAATTACCGATTTGATCCATTAACTATGAGATTTCACTAATTTGGTCCTCCACTAAAAAAATTACTCAATTTAATTCCAGTTATGCTTATGTTACACAAAATGGTCTTCATTCTAATTTTCTGGTCAAACTAAAAGGGTAAATTTGAAATTTGAAAAAATCATCTTCTGCCCTTTGGGAATTCCTTTGCCAGGTGTGTCCGAGACCCCATCTCTGAACTGATAACCAGAATGGTAATCACTGGTTATCATTCCACCGGTTTCAACACCGTTGAAACTAATATGCCGCGCAAGAAGAGAATTCGCCGCCCCAGTCTCGTCGCCCGAACTCTGCTTGAAGCTGAATCAGGGGATTTGAAGCTGCTCCGGATCACCGACAAAAACAACTGCTGCACCGGAAATCACCGCTCCACCACATCCGTCGAACCGGAAGCTGCCGTCGATGCTAGGAAACTGTTGCAGGCTGGAACTATTGCACCGGAAGCTGATAAAATCGTTGCTGCCGACCAAGAGGAATTTGAAGCCGCTGCTGGAAATTAAATCCAATGACTGACGACAAGAATTTGATGCTTGTGGTCCACGAATTTGCCGTCGGAAGCCGAGAGTTGCTGACTGGACTATCAATTACTGCTGCGCACGGAGAATTCACGCCGCCGACGAACAAAACCGTTGCTGCTGGAATTCCTCGAAGGATTGCCATCTTTCCCGTTGGTATTGGACAACAACAATTTCACCGGGTCTCTTCCCGGATCGTTAGCCAACTCGGAGATCCAAAAGATGTGGCTGAATAACCAGAAGCAAGGCCTCACTGGGACTATCGACGTGCTTTCCTCCCAAGTATGGCTTCACGCCAATGCCTTCTCGGGTCCGATACCTGACCTTTCCAAATGCACAAATCTTTTTTTATTTGAAGCTCAGGTATAACCAGTTCACTGGGGTGTTTCGGATTCTTTGATGACTCTTCCCAAATTACATAACATTAGCCTCCAGAACAATAAGTTGCAGGGCTCTAAGCCTCAGTTCAGAGATGGGGTTTCGGCCACACTTGACAAAGGAATTTGCAAAGGGTTAGAGATAATTTTTTTCAAATTTCAAATTTACCCCTTTAGTTTGACCAAAAAATTAGACTAAGGACCATTTTGTGTAAAACAAACATAGTCGATAACTAAATTGAGAAATTTTGGTAGTCGATGACTAAATTGAGAAATTTTGATAGTCGAAGACTAAATTGAGAAATTTTTGTAGTCGAGGATCAAATTGGTGAAATCATCATAATTGAGAGACCAAATCGATAATTAACTCTAATTGAATAGTTGAGAGCTCCTTTTTTTTTTTTTTTTGAAACCCAATAGTTGAGAACTTAATTTGCTAAACTTGATAGTCGATGACTTATTTGTAAATTATGATATAGTTGATAAATCACTTGAGTATTTACTCTCAAAATAACATTTCATCAAATAATTGGATGAATATTTTTTTAGTTATGCTGTAAACTTAACTTTATTGATTCTTATAAGTATTGTAGATAGATATATGAAATATTTAGTAATTTGTTATCTTTTATTTTAAATATGATTTTATTTATTGTTTGATGAAAATGGAATTAGTCATTCGAAGGAGTTCAATACTATCGATAACTTTTGATCTAATGATACTCAACTCGTTGTTTAAAAAAAATTCTTGCAATGAACACTTGTGTTTGAGGTTAAAGTACATATAAGGTCATTGTACTATACTATTTTGTTCAATTTAGTCTTTCTACCTTAATTTTGTTCAATTTATTTCCTGTACTTTAAAAAGTGAAACAATTAAGGACAATAACTTATGTGGCGCTGACATATCTCTGCCACGTCATCATACTTACATGCCAACTCATATATTATTTTATAAATATTTAAAATTAATTATTTTTACCACCAATATATTACATTAATATGTCCAAAATAAATATATAAATATTTGCTCACATTAGCTATTATCCTTAACTGTTTCAATTTTTAAGAGAAAATTTCAATTTTGGTACACCGACTATTGGAGTTGTGTTAATTGCAACACTTGACTTTCAAAAATATTAATTTAGTACATTGACTATGTAATTCTTATTAATTTTAGTCTGGCCAAATTACCGAATACCGACCAAATGTGACCGGAAAATTTTAAATCAACAAGTAATCTTAAATGGAAGGGGCAAAGTCGTCATTTCATGTGATTTTCTTCTTCTTCAATTTCTTGCCGCCGTTGGCCAGAATTGCAGCACCATAGATTTGCTGGGGTGCAATTCCGGCCAGCAGCTGCAAGGAATTGAAGAAGAAGAAAGTCACATAAATGACGAATTTGCCCTTCCATTTAAGACTACTTGTTCATTAAATTGCAATCCCTTGAAATTAGTAACACAATTAGTGTCCGTTTGGAAACCGGAAATCATTTTCAGTATTTTTGGGTACTTAATAAAAATGAAGTCTAAATAAAATATTCAGCTGGTCACGAAAAATAAGTTTATGTCTTCACAGTTTTTTTAGTCGCGAAATATTTTTTGATCTCTTGCTTCATTGTTTTTTTTTTTTTTTTTAAATAAATTTCTTGATTATTATTATTACTATCACCACAATCACTACTGACACCATGCCACAACCACTACAACATCAACACTAAAAAGACTAGTATCACCACACCCCTAACACCATCAACTACCACCACCACTGCCATAATCATCACCACAACCAGTACCACACTACTACCCCCAACACCAACACAACAACGACCACCACCACCACTGCACAAATACCAATAACACTACTACCACCACAAACACAAATAACTACCACCATCACCATCACGACCACAATCACCGCATTATTATTATTATTATTATTATTATTATTATTATTATTATTATTATCACAAATAACATGTTAATTTTCATAAAAATAAATCAAACAGAAAAAATTAATTTTTAAATTTTAAACTAAAAAAGATAATTTTTAAATATTCAACAAAAAACCAAAAAGTTAAAATATTTTGTATAAAATAAATTATTCTTTAAAAATTATTTTTGTCAAAAAACATTTTACAGACTTCCAAATGAATCCTAGCTCATGAGTTGAATTTGCATCTTCAATATTTTTTGTGCTTTGATGATTATTTTTAGGGATGACAATTTCAATCCGCCCCATGGATATCCACCCGAATCCACCTCGCGTGAATCAGATTTTTTTGGGTGATAGTGGGTGATCGGTCGGGTGTATGTCTTAAAAAAGTAAACCCGCGGTGGGTCGAGTTGGATTCAGATTCTATGTATAAAACTCGCCTAGAACCCCACTCGACCCACCATGTAGTTATTTATAAAAGTTTTTATAACTTCATGTAAATTTTTTATATTTTTATATCTAAACTACTAAGTTTATTTTTAAAAATTAACAATTTAGTTATTATATTTAAATATTTACATTATTTTATGTTTTATATAATTAATGAATTTTATTATTTTATTATGTGTAGGTAATTTAAATATTATTTTAAAAAAAATAATAATCAGATTCTAAGTGGTGGGTACCCATAGTGGATACCCGCACCAAATGAGAGTGAGAGTGAACGCGATGCGGGTTGAAGGTAGAAGTGAGCGAAAAAAATATAAGATAGGTCGGATGATGGATGTAGTCCTCCCGAACTCACACCCGACCCATTGCCATCCTTAATTATTTCCCAAATACCCACCCGTTTACCCAACTATTACATGATTATTCCCAATCGGGTAAACATTTGGGTTTAGGGTTTTAGCAAATATCATCTATTCATCTGCCATTTCCGGAGACTTCCTCGCCAGCCTCGCCATTTTTTCATTTGTTCCAGTTTGGATTTCTCTATCGCCAATTCTCTTGTATATACCAATCCTTAATCTCTCATCTGCGGCACTTATTATTAGTAAAATCTTTCATTTCACTTAACGGGTTTTTGGATTCATGAAATTCAAGTTTGGCTTCTTTCTTGGTAATTCTCAGCCAGACTCCAAAGAATGGCCAAGTATAGATCCTTTCCACACAATCCACTTCAGCCCTTGTTCTTTTCCCGCAAAATACCCTTCACCTCTTGCCCTTTACCTTTAGAATCTCCTTCACAATCTGCTACTGGAGCACTCCCAGATGACCTAAGAGTCATGTGCTTTTCAGCATTAGAGCAGCTAATTCGACGGGGATTAGTGAATTCCGCACTGAAGCTTGTTCAGAGAATTATAAAGCATTCCTCATCGGTCCATGAAGCCGTCTCTGCTGTTGATTTTGCCCTTTCTAGGGGAGTCGAGCTCGATATCAAGAGTTATGATTTTCTTATCAGAAAACTTGCGACTTCTGGCAAAGCCAGGATGGCAGAGGCAGTTTATGTTGACTTCATATTGAGCAGAGGAGTTGAGCCGGATCATTATTTATTGAATTCCATGGTTCTTTGTTATTCTAAGTTGGGTAAGTTGGAGGAAGCCAAGTCTCAATTTGATAGACTTCTTGCAATGGAAACTATGCCTTGCAGTGCAGCGTGCAGTGAACTTATTAGTGAGTTTTGTGCACAAGACCGAGTCCTGGAGGGATTTCATGTGTTTCTTGAAGTGTGTGGTGCTGAATTTGTACTGAACCTCCGGTGCTACAATGGGTTGGTGGATGGGTTGAGCTCAAGAGGGTACATAGATGAGGCACTCTGTGTGTATGACTTAATGTGTGATAAAGGGGTGCCACCCACTATTCATTTGCTCAAAAAATTGGTTTTCATGCTTTGTCAGAGTGGGCGGGTTGAGGAGGCTGAGTTGTTAAGTTTGAACATGGAATCCTTTGGTTTCTTTCTTGATAAAGTCATGTACACGGCTCTTATCAATGGGTATTGCCAGAAACGAAGTATGAGGATGGCTATGAGATTGTTTTACAGAATGCTGAAAATGGGCTGCCAGCCAGATAATTATACATACAACACGTTGATGCATGGTTTTTTGAACTTAGGCATGTTCGAAAAAATTCCTGTGTTGCATCACCAGATGGAGGAGCTAGGGCTGAAGCTTAATGTTGTGAGTTACCAAATCATGATTAGCAAGTGTTGCAAGGTTTGTAAAGTTGATTGTGCATTGGCCCTGTTAAATAGTATGATACAGTGCAATTTAGCACCCACTGTATACTGTTACACGCCTTTACTTGCTGCACTTTATAAGGAAAATCGGTTAGCAGAAGTTGATCAATTGTATAATCAGTTGTTTGATCATGGACTTCTTCCTGATGAAGTTCTCTTCTTCACCGTAGTAAAAAACCACGTAGAAGGACATGAGATTAATCTGGCACATAATTTTGTGGCAGAAATTGCCAGAAATGGGTGTGGCATTGACCTCTCAAACATCTGTAGCACCAGTAGTAAATCTGCTGATGACATCATGCTTGAGACTGATCTTCTCCTTCAAGAAATTTTTTCACGAAACTCAGGTTTAGCTTGTGTTGCTTTTAATATATACATGATTGCACTGTGTTATGGAGGCAGACTGGAGGCTGCTTTGCTATGCATGGATAAAATGTCAAATCTTTCTCTTCAGCCTTCACTCCCAGCTTACAACTCCATGATTAGGTGTCTTTACCAGAAAGGACAAGGAGAGGATGCTAAATCCCTTGTTAAAGTAATGCAAGACCAAGGTCTAGTTCCAAGCATGTTGACATTCTTAATTATGGTGAATGAGCAATGTAAACAGGGTGACTTGCCATCAGCTATTGGGATTTTGGATCAACTGGAAGATAGTGGAATGAAGCCTAGTATCGCTATATATGACTCTATAATAGGGCATTTGGCTAGAGAGAAGAGATTACCGGAAGCATTAGAATTGTTTGCTAGAGTGCGTGAGGCTGGAACTCTCCCTGATGAAACTATGTTTGTAACAATGATTAATGGCCTCTCAAAGAACGGACAAGCAATTGCAGCTCATGAACTCTTTGAAAAGATGTTGGAGTGTGGTATTCAACCAGGCTACCGTGCTTACACTGCACTTATAAATGGGTTTGTTAAGAAAAACATGATAGCAAAGGGGTGTCTATATCTTGATAGAATGTTAAAAGAGGGATTTGTGCCCAATGCTGCTCTTTATACTTCTCTGATCAACCAATTCTTAAGGAAGGGAGAAATTGAATTTGCGCTTCAGTTAGTTGATTTGATGGAGAGAAGTCAGATTGAGGAAGATATGATAACCCATGTTGCATTGGTTAGTGGTGTTTGCAGAAATATCCGATACATTAGTAGGAAATGGCATGAATCACAAAGCCAATTTGAGAAGGCAAAGTATATGCTTTACCATCTACTCTGCCAATATACTAATTTTTCAAAGGGGAAAGATTTGAAAATTTTTTTCAGTTCAAGGAAAGAACTAAAAGTTTTTGCACTGAAATTGATCAACAAAGTGAAAGAAACTAATTTTCTTCCGAACTTATACCTGCATAATGGTGTGATTGCTGGATATTGTTGGGCAAATAATATGCAAGGTGCATATTGTCATCTTGATATGATGGTAAGAAAAGGATTGCTTCCCAATCATGTCACTTTTACTATTCTCATTGATGGGCATATTCAGAATGGTAAAATTGATCTTGCTGTTAATCTTTTCAATAAAATGAATGAACTTGGCTGTGTTCCTGATAATATAGTATACAACACATTGATAAGAGGCTTTTGTAAAGCTGGAAGACTTCTTGAGGCATTATCAGTCTCAAATATTATGCTTAAGAAAGGGCTTTCCCCTTCTAAGGCATCATATGAAAATCTACTACAGTGTTTTTGTGCAAATAAATGTACAGTCCATGCCCTCAAGATTCTTGAAGATATGCTTGCCCATGAATATATCCCTTGCGGATTTAATCTTAACTGGTTGGTTTGCATATTATGTGAAGAAAAGAAATGCAATGAAGCTTACATTGTGCAAACTCTAAAGTCACAGAGAAGAATATTATCAAAGAAAGTGTCAAAGGGACTCTTAGTTTAGTATTTGCTGTTGCAACTGGGACATTGTTGAGCTATTGACTACAAGTTTGTGCAATTTGCAAAGCAGGGATTACAATGACTAAATCAATCTGCTATCTCACGGACATGGGAGATGATGAGTGTTTCACTAATGATACATTAAATACGAATGTTACATTTGTCACTGGATTACAGTCCAATAAGCACTTTGGATTCTCCAGTTGATCTTGAAGGCTTTTATTTGATGAGGGGTTCTTCTCTAAGTTGAAGGTATACGCTTGTTGCTATTTAATTGATTCCCTAACTGCTTTGGACTAATTTTTCCTCAATATTTTCTGAAAATGGGATAGTTTGTGCTAGTGCTTTTATACGGGCTTTCTGTCTCTATTTTTTTTTAGCTGAATCATCTTTTATATAGATTTGTGAACTTCATCAGTTTTTGAGACCAATAGATTCAGCAGCAGAATCATTGTGTCTTCAGACTATTCAACACAGGTAGATGAATCATCTCAGATTCTAATTTGTTACAAATCAGTAATAGTCATCTTGGAGTCTCCAGATATTCTAAATCTATGAATTGTGGTTCACACAGGATGAGATCTTCAGCTGGCCAATTGGGTGCCTGTCAAGAACTTCAGTGGAGCACCTGCCAATAGCTTCAGCCAGTGAAATATTTGCCAGAGGCTCCACTATCACTATGATACCAAAAGCTTCCATTCTGAGAAGGTCAGTACTTACTACTTAGCAACTTTGTTGAATCAAACCTTTTCTAGCCCAGCCCAAGTAAGTTTTGTATTTTGAATTACTACAACACTCCATTGCTTGGCTAATTAAGTAATTCCAAAGTTTGATTGTAAGAAGGTCGTGATGGCATATGGCCTCTTCTGCAACTGGAAAGTTCCCCTTTTTAAAAAAACTGGAAAACAGAATACCCAATTGAATCTAAATTAGGAAGTATAGAAGAAACTCAAGAAAGTCCAAATTAATAAAGAAATTTGAAGAAAGTAATTTTTTTCATCAATACGACAAATGCAAATTCACACATGAACCTTCACTCCAATGACCGCTCTTACCCTCCTACCATCACCACCACAACTACCACTATTATCCACACATCCCCATTTATTGCTACTATCACGATCACTATCCATCCAACATATCCTTTACCATTGCTAATGCTAATCACTATCTCCCACTGTGTACAATCACCTATAAGTGGTTGAATGCTCATTATTTAGACAATACAGAATCCAAGTATATGAACTTCGATACCAGAACCAAAATTAGTATAACATAAAATTCAATTTCATTCTTCTGTTGATTTTCATAGGGACTTTTAGGTTTGCAGAAATTTTTTGTGGTTCAAAATAATTTTGTACTGTTTCATGATCAGAATTGGAAGTTATTACTATGTGAACTAGAAACTGTGACATTAAATTATTTGAACAAAGCAAAACATTTGACTTTTGGAACCAGGGCTTTATCTTTGACTCCGTTAAGTTCAGATATTCAAAGTAATAATGGGCTTGTTGCAAAAAACTTTAAAGTAACAATCCAAACCCAATGCATGAAATTCTAAATCTAACCCAATGTTTGGAATTTTTTCAGTTCAGTTTTTAGTTTACATTTCCGTTGATGCTCCCCACTACTTTTGTTGCCTGCCACTTGCATTGGTGTTTTTTATTTACAAAATTACAAATAAAAGTTATAAAACCATCTGATTTGGAAATGGTTTCATATTGTCTAAATTAGATAATTGAATTTAAATGTGTTTTCTGACTCTCCAATGAAAAATGAAATTTTGGAATATTTTAGAAAACTGGAAATGGAAGTACTCCGTAAAAAACAATTTCTATTAACCATCAAGCTCTTAGTTTCTTCAAGGGGTGGGTTGGTTATGCCGCAATTTTTTTTTTATTTTTTTATTTTTTTGGTTCCTGCCCTCATACTCCTTAGAGAACATTATAAGGCCGAGGACAAAAAATGCAATTTCATTTGAAACCAAAGGATCATGTATGCATGCATGAAGATGAAAGTTGCTTTTCAACTATTAGTGCAATTCTCTCTGTTATATGTGTGTGTGTCTTTTGTGCATTCTCTCCATCTCAAATTCCAACCACACTGCTCTTTACTAAGTAAATCTTTGTTGTTGTTGGTTTTTTTTTTTTTTCTTCTCCCTCTGGTGCCTTGAAAGAGATTTTACTGGATTTAAGAAAGGAATGAGCTCTAGTTGCACAGCCAATGTTGCATAGCGGGCAAACTTGTCTATGGTTTGAGTATCTTTCTGCACTGCTGTTGCCAGGTAAAAATCATTGTAACTGTGGTGCTTGGGACACCACACTTATTGTTGGAAGACATTTTAACTCTAATGTTTTTTGTTAAAAAATCAGGAAGCAGATGATGGTAAGAATTATACTTCAAACTTTGGTTCCTTTCTATGATCTACCTTGACATTGTAATTGATAGACCTATCAAAGCCTATAATTGATAGAGTCTGGGTAGAAATTGTAAATGAGGGAAGCGATTTGAGAGGGTTTTGGCAAAGGATCGAGTATGAATCAGTGCCGGTGTATTGTGCTAGGTGTAGCAGGTTTGGGCACACGATGATGGTGTGCTGGAAAGGAAAGAAAGGGGGAGGGGTTTTAAGGAGGCGACCGGAAGAGGTGGTGGAGTGGCGGTGAATGAGGAAGTTCCGGTGGCTGTAGAGGCGGAAAGGATGAGGCGGAGCGGTGGTCTGTTGCCGGCGTCTCAGCAGAGAGATGAGTCGGGAAGAGGCTAAGGAAGTCCAGATTTGGGCTGGGTCATAATGAGGGGCCTATTAAGGAGGGCATCTGGAAGAGAGTTGGATAATTTGGCTAATTGGAGGGGAAAACCATCACAAATTATTATGTGGATCCTGGTGGACCCAAATGTTCACACTTCACAATTTACCTTTTAGAAATTCACAATATATATATTACGAACACAAGTTTTTTTTTTTTCAAATACTGCAGACCTGCAGTCACGCAGTATTAATAAATTAAGATTTGATTATCTTGTATTGTATTTACAAATTTCTTTATGCCGTTATGTGTTTTGACTTAGAAATATAATTTATACTTTAGAAGTTTACAATTCCAATACTAAAAAACACAATTTATTTGTTGTTTAGGACTATGGTCTACCATGCAAGGTGTACTTTGGTCCATGGTATAACAACTCGAAAATCATAGGTGAAGAAGGTGGACATTGGTCCATGGTATAACAACTCGAAAATCATAGGTAGGGAAGGTATTACGACAATTATACAATGGACTCGGATTTACATTGTAAGATAGACTCGGGCCAAAATATATAATTTATATACTAAATGTTTACTATTTACATACTAAATGTTTATACAAAGAGATTTAAGTCTTAATATTGATCTCAGTTTGCATTTCTCTTTCTCATACTACTTTAATACGGGCTCTTAATTTAAAAAAGACAAAAACACCCTTAATAATTTCATATTTCAACATATTTTAAATGAAAGGGGTGATTAGCGGGATGAATTTTGACACTAAAATAATAATTGTGGATTAAAATAACAGTAACTATGGATGAAAATTGATTGAAATTAAATATATTGACAAAAATTATCATTTTATTAATACTCGTGATATCAAAATTGGTATTTGCTCGTTAATAATAATTATATGTTTAGTGCTTACCCAGTTACCCCAACTAAATAATACGGAGTAAATTTTAAATTCCTTTCCCCTCATCATTCTTTACCCAAAGGACTTGAATAGGCAATGCTCTGCTTTATTCTCAACTCTCCAAAACTATCCAGTCTCAGTCTCTGCGTGGCCATCCGCAGAATATTTTTCCGGCGGCTCTGATTTTCCGGCGATTCTCAGGTGACACTTATGGCCGAGTTAACCTATCTTCCGGCTCTGTATTTATACATGGAGCGATTTTTTTTTTTTTTTTTTTTTTTTTTAAAAGTTAAAATGCATATTTACGCTGGCATCTGTTTTCCTGCGTTTAACATTTTACACTTCTTTTTCTTTCACCGTCCAATTCTTACCTTGGCCTTCAGGAAGTTGATAATTTTATTTATTTATTTTTTCATTGCAGTTTGCGGCGATTATTTTTCTAAATTGGTTTTAGGCACAGTGAAGCCTTTGAAAGAGTAATTGATTGTAGGAAACAAAAGGGGAAAAAGACAGTAGTAATAATAATGGCGAAACGGAGAAGAAGAGGCATGGCATGTCTGGTGCAGGACGTAGGAATGTGAAGTGTGATACCAAAGATTCCAAGTTTGAGAAAATCTCAACACAGGTGGATGCTGATTATATGCTGTATTTAGAAACCCTAGACAGTAGCCAAGAAAGTGGCTTTGACAGGGAAGATAGTATGGATCATAATGATGTCAATGATAATGATGTGGACCCTCAGTATAGGATCTTTTTGGATAATACTGTACAAAAAGGGACAGCGTATGTGACTACACTTGAGGATAATGGATTGCCCTTAATTCTGCACTATGAAAAAGAAGAGGTCATATCTAGTGGTGAGCCTACACTTGAGGAGAATGGATTGCACTTAATTCTGCACTATGAAAAAGAAGAGGTCATATCTAGTGATGAGCGGAATGATGTTCATAGGAGAAAAGTGAAGAAGACTAGGAAAGGAGGTGATGGAAAAGATTTTGAGGATCTTACGGTAAAGAGCAATGTGGAAAGACCAAGAATTTTAAGGAGTGATGTGAGGAATTGTGAAAAATCAGTGCTTGGACCATTGAATCCTGTTTCTATGGGGAGAAGGCAGCCTATGTCTGGGAAACAACACAAGTATAATATGAAGAATAACTCAGATAAAGAGCAGAGAACTTCAAGTATAGGCGCCGAGGAAAAATATCTAGACAAAGATTATGCTCTTTTCCTGCAACACATGCAATGTGAAGGATACACCTTGAAGGCTTTATTTCCAAATAACCAGCATGTGGAATATGATCGTGATGATTCTGGAGATGTTGAAGTCCTTGAAATTGATTCCTTTACATTTTGCCATGGGGGAAGCTTCAATCCATGTGTCCCTTCAACAGATTATTGTGAGGTTGTTTCCCCCTGCGTCATGTCCCTCCTATTCATCCACTTATGACTTTCTATTTTTAATTTGAGTTACCCTTGAATTATTTAGGTGGGCAACACACTGTATGAAGACTCTCAATTTAGACAGGAGATAATTAGTATTCTTAGGAGGCCCTATGACCAAGCAGAATTTGAAAAGCTTTTGCAAGATGTCAAAGTTCAAAAGCCAATGGATAGAAATTTGGAGTTACGCCATGGGAGAGATAGAAGCTGCCCATCAAATAGAATTGGAAAATCTTATCTTGATCACTTTGATGGTAAAAAAATTATGTTTTGCAAGTTACTTGTCCAGATCTGAGCAATTCTCTTTTTGTTTTAAAGTTATGCGAACTACCATACCGTATTACCATATGATGATTTCATTGTACATGTGGATGTAGTCTCTGAGTTCATGCAACAAGAAGCTCCAAATGATATCCCTCTTCATAGTTGACAATATAGTTTTTTGACATATGCTAATTGACGCATTCAAGTGACATTGATCCCACTGAAATTAAAATATTGGGGTCAATATATAAAAAAACAAAAGTCTAATTGTCTAAATAAGGAAGAAATTTTAAATCTTAGCTCTTAAGGGTAAAATGAACACCTTCATCAATGAATTTTCTTAAAAATCATGTTGATTGTTGAGATACTTTATATTTCAATGCCTTAGAAAATAATATTCCGTATTAAGTTAAGCTGTTGATCCTACTGAATTTCATTCCTAGCTCTGCCACCACATATGCTCCACAAATTTGGAACCATGTGCACTTAAAAATCATTGTTTGTAATTTGATGTTTCCTTGGTGTAGTTTGATTAAAGTCGGCTTTTAAATTAATTCCTGAACTCTTTTTGTCATATCTAGGGCACTTAGTTCCTACTACAAATTTTGCTTGAGGAAGATATGAGATTCCACAAATGTGCTTTCTTCTATATTCCCTCTATAGTAGCTTAAAGTTCTAGTTTTGGTAGAGCACATAGTTTTTTCATGCCTTTACATGCATATAATATGGAGAAAGGGAAAGAAGCCACTTTTGTGCCCTGTTGCATTCTCTGTCGTTCTCATTCAAATACACGGTGTGAAGCTTGCACATTTTTACACGACTCCTTTAATTTGTTTAGTTTGGTCTATGTTTCTTACAGGGTGAAATGTGCTTGATTTGAGTTTTATAGTTGTAGTTTAAGTGTGATTTTGTTTCTTGTAGTTTCTCTAGTATTTTTTTTTATGGAAAATCATTTTCCATCTCTTCAATTGGTGTCCTTTGTCAAGTTGTTTTTTGTTATCCTTGTTATGTACTTTATACTTTTATGCCTTCTTCTAACACTTGTGTATATCCACTCTATATTCCTGCAATACTTGAGCATTTATATTATCTTTATCTATCTTATCTTGAGAAAATTAAAATTGTGTTGTTTAAAAGATCCAAGAATGCCTGCATTGATGTATACCTTTTCACACAAACATGCAGATTTTAACAACAAACTTGAAGAAGTGAGTCCTGACAAACATAAAATGTTGAACATCTTGCGTGGATTTTTCTTTTGGCTACGGGTGAGTGGCATTTTTTCTGCACTTTGTTAATATACAATAGTGATTACGAATTTTATGCAGATAATCTCCTTCTTTATGTTATTTTATTTTGCTTGAGCTTATAGTTGTAGAGAGAGATTTATTTTCAATGTGTATTTTCATTTTCAACAAATGAAGAAAATTGATAAAAGCCATGTATGTAC